TCAAAACATCTAGGAGCCACGAGAAAATGACTTGAAATCCACCAAGTGCAAAATCAGGCCCCAACGGATCTCCACGGTTACACCCAAACATAGACAGGCAAGTGAACCCATCTGAACTTAGGATATATACAAAAAAAGACAACTGGAAGACAGGAAGTTATATAAACGTCCAACTTATAAGGGTAGAGACAGAAACCCTCTCATCCATGCAAGAAGATAGAACGTTCCAAAGAAGATCCGAAATCACATACCCTCGATTCGGCCGACGTTAATTTGACGCATGTCAGAAGTAGATATACAATTATTTTACGTATGAAATTTTTAGCCCCCTACTCTTATCAGACGTTACTAAATGAACATTGCAAATAGGCGCCTTAGAGATATATTCATGCCTTTCTATGGATAATTTGCAAGAAATTATTACGAGTTTTAGAAAGATTATGAGTGTTAGAAAGAAATAAAATAAAGAAAACAGTGAACTGAACAAACCTGTCTCGCAGGTGGGCCCCGTCCATCCGAGGTTGCATTTGCATATGTCCGGTCCGACACACGTTCCTCGCTTGTTGCATCCTTTATTGCAAACAGCTATCAACAGAAGGATATTAAATCAACATTAAACATATATTTTTACCTACCGATCTGATGCGAATCTACTGAAAAGTTCTTAGCGCTACCAGGGAGGGATTTGAAAAAATATCTAATGTTTCGCCATTTGGTCAGATTTTGGAAAATGTTTTTGTTTTTAATCATTTCACCACAAGCAAGGCTATAATGTCCCTAAGACGCAAGTTGTTACTGGGAGTGAAAGAGAATGAGAATACATTAGCGAGGAGAGAGGACAATAAAAATAGAGTTCAAGAAGACAAAGATTGCGATTGATGTTTGTGTGTGAACATTTCAGGAAGCCCGCATTATATATATATATATATATATATATATATATATATATATATTAAAATAATAAGAAAGAACATTAAGATTTATAATCCGGGGTTCTTAGCAATTATTTTTATTTCTAAAAAAACAGTGCTCGATACAAACAGTAGAGCAAAACTGGCTTCCAATTAAGGTAGAGCACTCTTAATCTTTATTTTAAAATAAAAATCATAAAAATATAAAAAAAATAAAATCTGGAATTTCTCTGAAAATCATATTTAAAAAAATTATATATATATATATATATATATATATATATATATATATATATATATATATATATATTATAATTAATTTTATAAAATATATATATATATATATATATATATATATTTTTTAAAAATTAATTATAATATATATATATAATTTATATATATATATATAGAGAGAGAGAGAGAGAGAAAGAGAGAGAGAGAGAGGGGGGAGAGGGCGTATCAAAAATACTATTACAAACTTTGGGGAAGGGTTCTTCATACCAAAAGAAGAACAAAAGTTCATATAAACATATGTCCGCAAATCTTTCGTTTTTGAGTTAAGTTTGAACAAAGTTTACAGTAGATGGCGTTGTATTGCTATGTAGACTAGCTTACATTCGTGTACTTTTGTGGTTAGTCTGTCTTCAATGTTTAACATGTGTAGTTGTGAGTTAACTGAGAAGTGTTCCGTTTAACAATGGCAGGATATTCATATCGTGAGCAGGTAGGTATGATATTTTACATACGGCTGCGCGAATGGTAATGGATGCGAGGCTACGCAGCTGTATCAGATTGCGTTTCCAGACCGAAGGCAGCCGAGTCATCCAACCTTTGCTGCTGTTTATTCCCGCGTTGCTGAAACAGCACAAACTATGGACAGCGGAAGATCTAGTCGAGAACCACCCGTACGCCTGACCACAAAGAACACGTTCTACATTAACAGCGTCTACCGTAAACTTTAAACTTAATAACTAAAAAACGAAGGATTTTCGGACATATGTTTATATGGACCATTTTTCTTGTTTTGGTGTGAGGAACGCGTTGCAAACATTTATAAATGTTTTTTTATACACTCTGTATATATATATATATATATATATATATATATATATATATATATATATATATATATATGTATGTATGTATGTATGTGATAACGATATATAATTTTTTATATATCAAGAACAATTTTGGAAGTAAAAAGTATGACAAAATGGAAAAAAAAAAGTTTTCTTGTAACGTGTTTAGTCTTCTAGGACATGTTGATGCGACTACACATGCACACGAACAAGAGACGCTGGGAATTTTAAATTTAAAGATAATATTTTTTTATGTAACCAAGACACATATAAAAAAATATCATTAAATTTAAAACTTCCAGCTTCTCTCTGTTCATGCGCATGTGCAGTCACATCAACTTAAATATAAACTCATTCCGATTAAGTCGAAGTGGACGAAATGCATCACATGAAAACATTTTTCATTTTGTCATATATATATATATATATATATATTAAGGATTTAATAACGGACAATTTAAAAGTATATACAAATATATACGAAAATATGAAACAAAAGGGAAGAGCAAATATGATAAAAGAATTACACCCTGTAAAAAAGGTCAAACCTGTTATATGTCTCCATTTTTTTTGCTGTTATATTTTTCGATCCACCACTTTACGATGAGTAATTTTTTTATTATTATGCTTGTTCTTATCTATCTATCTATCTATCTATCTATCTATCTATCTCAATCTATCTTATCTCTATCTTTTATTCTTTTCTTTCTCATTCTTTATCTATGTATCTATCTATCTATCTATCTATCTATCTATCTATCTATCTATCTATCTATCTCATTCTGTTCGGTCAGTAGCTAGGTGGATGACTGCTTAGGAATACTAGATGCTGTAAACTTGCGTGTGGTGTAATGGATTTGTAGCTCGGAATTGTTAATAGCAGAGCCGAGTTCCAAATCCAGTCGCGTTCGTTATATTTAGTTACGCGCAAATACCCTTCGGAAAGCTATGAATATACTTCTTCTCTCCCCAGACATGGGTTAATTATTAAGATTTGTATCACTAAATCAATATTATCTAACAAAAAAAAATTTTACAATTTAAAAGTTTTTCTGACTTTAAATTACCTGCAATGGGTTGATAAGTCTTAGAAAACGAATCAATCTATCTGTCTGTAATTTTTTCTAAACCAGGAGACCCATCATTTGTAGTAAAGTGCGTACGACCCACTGGATAACCCAGATGTCAGAAGATGCTGTACTTGGCAGCTGACGGAGTCGTATGTCCTGAATTCGGGGTGACAGAGTGAAGCGAGAATAAAAGTATAGATTTTCTTTTTCTTTTTTTTTTTTTTTTTTATATATCTGGGAACATAAAATAGAGTTCACAAAGAACAAACAAACAATTGTACTGCACCATTATTTTCTATTGAACATATGTATAAATAAGTCTAATATATAGATAATAATTATATAGATAAGGGACTAGGGCAATAATACTTCATGAAAGGTAGCCAGATGCGACCGAAGTTAGTTAATGTATTTAACGGTATATCAATTCCTTATGGGTTATTTAATGCAGAAATTCTTGGGAGCTTTGAAGTAATAAAAATGTTATGTCATTCTGCTTTCACAATTGAATACATGGTAGGTGATACTCAGCTTTTGCACATATACAAGTGTGTGGACATAATTACTAGAGGCGATGATATAACACCTCTATGGGTTATTCAATACCGAAATCTAAATATTTTGGACATAATTTTATAGCGTTAACTGAATGTTTTGAACGCAATTGTATGCCTTCAACTAAAGATAAAATGTATTGCTGATTATGTATTGTCGTTTTTTTTTTTTTTTATAAAAATTTATTGCTGGTATTTTTACTATTAAAATGTATTTTTATACTTTCATAGTGATTTTGTTTTGGGGTAACACTATTTGCTGGGAACCTAACATGTGATACCACCCCGGGTCAACGTGGACCTGGGCACAAGAACAATTAAGATTAGAGGCCTTGTCACCGGATGTACTTTTTCGTCATACCCACGAATTGCGACCCAAGTTATCAGAAGAGTAAATTATGAATTATTTTTATATTTAACAAAAGTTTATTTTTTAAAGCTAGAAATACTAAGCACGTGGCTTCCATGTCTAAGTCAAGTGTTTGTCGTTTGATATTTTAAACTAGATGCGAAATTCTTTAATCTTTAAGAAGGAATGAAAAATTCTTTCCCTTTTGCCTTCCTCAAGGGATGAAAATCGACCTCACTAAAAAAATTGCAAATTGTTCATAAATCCTTTTCAATGAAACTTGTACCGCTAACCCTCTTTGGGGACTCTAAAACAAAAATGACAATAATTGAAGATAATTTTCTTTTTTGCCAAAGAACATGGAACACAAGTTTTACTCAAGCTGACTTAAATATACAATATAATGTCATCAAAATAAATGCTTATTTCATGAGACTTTATCATTTTCCTATTTTCAAATTTCATGACTAATTTTCCTTATTAAAATTTAAAGTGTTGTTATACTACAAGTGCGATCTGACGTAAAAAAAAAATTTGAGAAACACAGGACTAGGGAGTGCTTCAGCTGTGACTCATCCTAAGATGTTCAGAGAGCCTCGGCCTCTATAAGCTTCAAACTTTTCCACTCTTGGAGAGGGAAATCAACAACTCATTTCTCCTACCCGGCGGACGATCGCTTTCTGTGGTTTCTAAGGAAGGGCATGGCTTTCAAACCATACTAACAACGGTATTTATTTGTCTGGACACTCTCTCCTGAATTAACAGTATACATCCACGAATGATTCCGTAGGATGGTATGATGAATCTATAAAAGGATTGTTACTTACGCTTGAGGCAATCTCGTTCGTGTTTATCGTACTGGTCCCATCCAGGACAACAACTGTTGACCAAGCGAGTGACCACCTCCATGTAGTAGACTCGTCGTTGGGCCATCTCGTAGACAATTCTGCAAAGAAATCAAAATGTATCAAAATATATTGAATATCGATCAGTTTTATTGATTTGAATGTATGTAACTGTTTCGAAACATTAACGGTTTACGGCCATATCACGTTGAAACACCGGTTCTCGTATAATCACCAAAGTTAAGTAAATGTCGAGCTTGGTCAGTACCCCAATGGGTGGCTGCTTGGAAATACTAGGTGCTGTAAACTTTGATGTGCGGGTGGTGTAATGGATATTGGCTTGAAATTGTTAATCGGAGAGCCGAGTTCCAATTCCTGTCGAGTTCGTTATATTCACCCCCGCGCAAATACCCTTGGGAAAGCAATGAATCGATCTATTCTCCCTCAGCGATGGGTTAATTAGTAAGACATGTATCATTAAACCAGTAAGACAACTTAGTAAACTTAGTAAGACATGTATCACTTAAACTAAGAAAAGAAAGAATTCTTACAATCTAGAAATATTTTCTAGCTTTAAGTAACCTGTAAAGGGTTGGTAAGCCGTAGAAAACGAATCAGTCAAACAATCGAACACCTTAAAATAAGATTGACTGAAAATCAGCGACAATTTATTGACAAAAGCGAGAATGGAAGGATGATGATTTGTTTTTTACGGCTTATCAACCCATTTGTGGTATATTTGAAGCTGAAATATATTTTGGATTATAAGAATAATTTTTTTTTTTTTGCTAATGAATATACTATTAAAAATTTTGTTGAGAGCAATAATGATTTTGCCAGATACAAGTCTTGCTAATTAACCCATAGCTGGGGGAGATGCATTCATACATTACCCAAAGGTATTTGCGTGTGTGTAAATGTAATGAACCAGAATAGAATTCGAACTTGACTCGAAAATATTTATAGAAAGGGCACGTGAAAGCTATATTACGGCGGTGGGAAAGTGATTGAAGCCAGGATGCCAGATCAGGACCAGTAACCTTGCAGATACTTGCTTAGCAACAAAATACACGAAAACCACATTTTCAGCCGTTCTTTTCCCTAACGAATGATGAGCTACCCTCATTGGGCCAAACGAATGGAGAGAACGCTGAGAAACGAACATGGTGTGATTTTTATTGTAGGATTATAGGTAGCAAAATGCTTCATTGCGTGTTTCAAATGTTCGTCCGTTGAGAGCTCATATATATATTGTAAAGAACACACTTTCGGAAAGAAGGCGTTTAATGAAGAAGACGTTTAAACGAAGAGAAACTAATGAATACTTGAATAAAATAGATTTTAAAGACATAAAATGACTTTACTGTTTCTTTCACCCAAACTATTTGGCCACTTCACTCGTTCCTTAAATGGAAACTTTTGAAGCATTCTGAAGCGGAAGCTTTCTATTTTCGGACGACATTTTACCAGCAATGATGAACTTTGGAATTCTATTCTGGATGAAGTGCAGTCTGTTTCATATAGAAACTTACAAAATCAAAGGATGAACAAATTCTAAAACTAAATCTTAGATTTTAAAATCTGAACGACACAAAGCTTGTAAAAAATACGAGCAATTTCATTAAGAAATCTTTATTGGGAGAGAAAGTTCACATGATCATATTCAGGGTACATTTTTCGGTACTTTTTAAAAAATCATTTCACCCCAAGGAAAGTGATGGTGCTACTAAGACGCAAAGAGGTCTACTGGGAGTGAAAGAGAATTGGAAGACTTTAGTGAGAAGAAAGGACAATAAAAGAAGAGGTTTCAAGAAGGCAGAAGAAGGCGATTGAAGTTGCATTTAAATTCTTGAAGACTGGATGTGGCAGGAAAAAAATATAGAGTTCCACAGGCAAGAATTGCGAGGAAAGAAACTATAATAACTAAACTAGAATAGAACTTACGGTTACATCTAGCTATTTCAACAGTAAAAAATGATACCAAAGTTACCAATCTAGTACCACGCTTAAATTCATGCTGTCGAGAGACCAAAAACAAATCAGAACAAATGTTATGTAAATGTTTATAAAAAAGGTCGAGGGAAGCCACATTACGATGGTTGGAAAATGACTTAAGTCGAGATGCCAGGTCAGGACCAATAACATTGTAGATTCTTCTTTGTATTTTATCAAGAATCTTTAAATATATAACAAGAGCACCAGGCCAGATGTGGTTCAATATTCAAAGCAAGACCGAATGGTAGACTTATAAATATAAATATGTAAGATAAATTCTGTCGAGAAAAATTGTCTAGCATAATAAAGCGAACCAACTTTCTGAGCTGCAGACTTAGCAGTTGATTTAATATAATCTTTCCGCTTTATGACAGTTGAAAACGTTAGTCCGAGTAGGAACAATGCAAAAGGTAAAAAGTATTATTTTAAATACTTGGAAGCCACGTTACGGTGGTTGGAAAGTGACTGAAGTCCAACCGTGATGTCAGGTCAGGACCAATGAAATTACAGACTCTTCTTTGGATTTTCTTGAGAATCTCATGATATATAGCAGAAGCACCAGACCAGATATGGAAGCAATATTCAATGAGCGGACGAATGGTAGATTTATAAATGTGCAAGGCGCATTCTGACGAGAAAGATTGTCTGGCACGACACAGCAAACCAACTTTCCTTGCAGCAGACCGAGCAGTTTACTGAATATAATCGCTCAACTTCCTGTTATTTGAAAACGTGAGATGAAGAATCATTAATTTTTACGTTGCAATGTTCTTTCTTTAGAGTAGATTTAAGATCAGAGTTGGACAAGATGTGTGTTAGTAGGATGTATTATAGTATCTGAAACCAGAATGAAGATGATGAGACAAAGTGAAAAACGAGTCGTTTCGCCAGAGTCTCTGCTCTCTTTGGCTTCCTCAGGTCAGAATGAAAGAAAGATAAAACTGTACGCGAGGGAAATGTCTTGGGATATCTGAGGATAAGTAGTAATCATAAATCTAATTAAATTCGATACCTTATCATCACCAATGTCCAGAGAGCTCAAGTTTGGACACTGGAGTTGATAAATTATCTGATTTAATTTGATTTATCCCAAGGTATTTTCCCTTACATGCACTTTCATTTTTCTTTTAGTTTAGCCTAAAGAAGCCAAAGAGAGCAGACGCTCTTGCAAAATCTCATTGTCTTCACATATCAGATGGGTAAATTTAGTATCGATTTAAAATGAGTTTATATCAGATACATATCAGACAGACACTATGCAGTATGAATTCAAAATGGGCGCTATGGCGACAAAAGCAACAGAAAATATTCGTTTTGTCTATGGAAATGACGCTTTGAGTGCTGAAAAATGTCAACGATGATTTAGCCAGTTTCGATTGTGAAATTTCTCTCTCGAAGATTCATCTTGATCTGGACCACCAAAGTCGAGTCAATGTTGAGCTTCTGCAAAATGTAGTTGAGGAAAATTATAACCAAACTGTGAAAGAATAGCAAAAACACTTCAATAAAAGTCACACATCGATCATAAAACAGCCTCCTGAACACGGCAAAGTGTCTAAATTTAATCAATGGGTCCACATTATCTGACCACTTTTTAACTTAATCAGAGAGTTTCCTTCTGCTCGTCACTGAAGAGTAAACTTGCTACCGAACTATTACTGGTCAGAACCATCTCCAGTGAGGAAAAATGAGTTCTCTGTAATCATATCCAAATGAAAATGACATTGGTTTACTTTCACTGAAAAATAAGAACCCATCCCTAAATCAGAACTACACCCGAAAAAAAGTTACGCTCTGTATTTGGTTGGATATGAAGTCGTTTGTCAAATTCAAACAGTTAACGCAAAGAAGTATTGTTGTCAATTAGAAACATTGCATAAAGATTTTCAAAAAGCATCCATCGTTGGTTAATCGTAAATGCGTGTTGCTCTTACACGATAATACGAATTGTCAAGGTCATTCAAGAAAGCAATGACACAAAATATAGAACTTTTGCCGCATCCACCTTATTCTCCTCACCTTGCTCCATCTATTATCTTTTCAGATCATTGCAAAAATTTATTAATTGCAGAGAGGTTAAAATGATATTGGGTATTTTTACGTATCGAAACCTGAAGAATTTGACGCCCGATGCCAATATATTGAATTATGTTATCGATAAGGAGGGGAAATATTATCTTGATTGAATATTTCAATTAAGATCAAAAAGCATTCGTTTTTTCCAGCCTAATAGATATGAACCGAGTCAGATATATACGAAATGAAAAGTTCTCAGACAGACTAACTTTCGAAAATAACTATTTTGAAGTTTAGTCATTAAAATACTGCTTTCGAAAAGTTGATAAAGAGGAGAGATTTCCTTGTCTAAACTGTTTCAAATAGGTATGAAAAATGTTGTATATTAATAGATTGATACAGATATAACTGACAAAAATATGAACTAGTATTAAATGAGCGGATATATAAGAACAGAATGGGATAGATAGAAAGTTAGTAAAAGATGAAAGTAGATTAATCTGCAGTGGCGGACCTATATTTTTGGGCCCCAAAGCTAGAACACATATGGGCGTGGGAGATCCTTATCCATCAACAATAGATTCGAGAATCCAACTGCCAAATATAGGCAATGAATAGATTTTGGCAAGCTGAACATGCGCATACAGCTGGGGGCTAGGTCGCTGCAAGCCCCCAAGAAAGTTTTAAAATTTGACCAATTATAGGAGAATTTTGAGACCATATGAAATGAGTATCAGAGCGTATTCTAAGGCCAAAATTAGATCCTTCAACCAATTGGCTTATGATTATATCACTAAAATTGTCTTAATTTAATAACAAACACTTAAAAAACATTGATTTTATTGAAAAGTTCCCTATTAAAAAAATAGTTGCGCCAGGTGCCCCTTTAGGATTAGGAGCTCTGAAGCTCAAGTTTCATTAGTTTCACATTAGATTCGTCACTGTCAATATGCTTCTGTCTGTTCAAGAAGAAAGATAGGGATAAGTATTTATAAATTGAACACGCACAAATACACACACGCAGAGAGCCCCCTAGTGATGTCTGTATACACTAACTAACAGATAACTCGGAATGCCTCAAACGACTCGCCGTAAAGTCAAGAAATATGATCTAGTTATGTCAGGGAAGACATTTTATATGTCTTTAACATTTTAAATCCTTTTTTGGGGGGGCTTTTTCTGAAGAATTTCATATATATATATATTGTTTTAGATGCATTTAGCGAATGACCTTTGACAGACCGAAAGGTCACTGCCTGCAGAAGGCACGTACTAAAAAAACAAAAAACAAAAAA